AAGCTCGGAGCCAAATTTCAAACCCCATCATACCAACCACATTAACCCATATGGCTAACAAACTACACTTTTCTTTTTTCTCTTGTCCTCATTGTGCATTTCTGCTTATGCTCTTGGTATGTCTGTTGTAAGCCCATCCCAAATCCTCTTTTGGCATGAGGCAGAGAAAAAGCAAATGCATAAAAGTAAGGAGGGTTCTGAGCTTCCTGACAGTGAAGCTATTAAATCTGGCCCCTTGCCCTTGACAATGAAGCCTCCAGATCCTCACTGCGCCCCTGCAGCCGCCCCTGCAGCCACCCCTGCAGCCAGTCACTGGCCTGCCCCTGCCCGTTAACAGTCATTCCTTTAGCCCTGGCCAGTTTATCTCAGCGGTTAGAGCAGTCGGCCCGTGGACCAGAGAGACCCAGGTTCGGTTCCCGCCAAGGGCACGTACCTCGGTTACAGTTTGTCCCCGGCTCCAGTTGGGGTCGTGTGGGTGGCAGCCACTCGATGTGTCTCTCTCACATGGATGTTTCTCTCTCTCTCTCTCTCTCTCTCTCTCTCTCTCTCTCTCTCTCTCTCTCCCTCCTTTTCTCCCTCCCGCTCTATCTGAAGATAAAAATGCAAAAAAGTGTCCTCGGATGAAGATAAAATTTTTTTAAAAAGATTAAATAGTCACTCCTTTATGTCAAAACAAATACATGAATTTAAACGCCCATATCTATTGCAGGCACACCTCAGAGATATTTCGGGTTTGCTTCCAAGACCACCACAATAAAGCAAGTCATAACGTTCTTGCTGGTGGAGGGTCTTGTCTTCAATTTGTAAAAAATGCAACATCTGTGAAGCGCGATAAGGCCAAGTGCAGTGAGAGGAGGTCTGCCTGTATGCACACATGTAACGCTAACTAGTGGCTTATCCTCGGCAGCTTTTCATAATGAGCAAGCAATTGGGTTGGAAATAGAAAAGACACATTGCCACATAAAAGCAGGTCTTAGTAAAAATTAGATGACAGGAAACTAAATTGTTGCCATTCTAGCAACTAATGAAAGTATGATGTTGTAAACAAGCCCACGGTGGTGCTATAATTCTTCTCTGAAATCAGGAAACACCCCGAGGGGCCAAAATCTGACAGGGGGTGGGGTGAGGGTGCATTTCCCTTTGAAGTCCAAGAGCACAAGGAGCTGGGTTTTACAGTTGAGACCCATGACACCCGCCTGCTTATTCTAAGACAAAGCTGATATCTCAGGGCTGTTTACCCTCTTCTGCTCACTGTCGCCAGGGAGTCTTTTTCCAGTTTCCTGTCCCCTTCCGAGGCTGTTGTGTTCAAAACCAATGATTACAAATGAGAGGTGTGGTTTCAGATGAAAAATACAACTATAGGCCTGTGCTGTCCTGATGAGAACCCAGCAGGGAAGCCAAGAGCTGAACAGGGCTTTGTATACATTATTGTAACAAATGGGTTTTTGATACAAATTCTCGGCTAACCTATAAAATTGTTTATCTAATTGTTTCCCCAAATCGTGTCAGCCTGCTGTGGTTGTGACATCCAGGTAAAGGCTCTGTCAGCTCCTCCACACAGGAACAACGTGAAGGTGCTGAGAGGCAGGAATTTAGTAAACTGTTAGGGAGGCATGATTTATAATAGGTCTTCAAGCTGATCACGCACAAACAAGCTGAGGGGAAATAGGGTTGATTTAGTAATTCCCTCAGTTTAAGGAGGACATTATGAAAAACAACTATAGCTGTCATTGAACTGTGGCTTGGAGCCAGGGTGGCATTCTTTTTGCTAATTTATAAGCAACATTTTGAAAAACATTTGCTTTTAACATCCGGTAGAGACATGCACCAAGGCTGCCTCTGGTTCTCCCACTACTACCCAAAACTGGATCAATCAGCTGCGATTCTTAACACAGACCATGTAATAGTATATCCATAAAAATCAAGTCACCCAGTGAGAATAACAGAAATATTTAGGTGAGTTTAGGTGAGAGGAAAAAGCAGTATTGGTTAAAAAAAAAAAAAAAAAGTGAATACGATTAAGATAAACTTTATGAACTAATTAGAATATTGGCAGGTCAAATTACTGTTTGGGTTTGTTTGTTTGTTTGTTTGTTTTTTCTTTATTGATTTTTAGAGAGAGGGGAAGGGAGAGGGAGAGAGAAAGATAGAATCATCGATGAGAGAGAGCATCAACTGGCTGCCTCCTGCATGCCCTACACCGGGGATCAGGCCCACAACCTGGGCATGTGTCCAACTGGCTGCCTCCTGCATGCCCTACACCAGGGATCAGGCCCACAACCTGGGCATGTGTCCTGACGGGGAATCAAACTGGCAACCTCTTGGTGCATGGGTCAACACTCAACCGCTGAGCCACACTGGCTGGGCCAAATTTCTGTTTTTTAAAACAGCTTTCCTGAGATAAAATTCACATACCATAAAATTCACCCATTTAAAGTACGATTCAATGGGTTTTAGTATATTTATCAGTGGTATTTAATATATTCATATTCTATTGTGGGACCATCACAATTTAATTTTAGAACATTACAGTCCCTCCACGCCAAAATAAACCCTGTACTCATTAGCAGTCAACTCCCATTTCTCCCTTTTGCCCAAAGCAATCACTACCTTACTTTCTATCTTTATAAATTTGTCTATTCTGGACATTTCATATAAAGTGAATCATACAATATGTGGTCTTTTGTGTTTGTCTTCCTTCTCTTTGCAAGATGTTTTGAAGGTTCATCCATGCTATAGCATGTACCAGTACTTCACTTATTGCTGGTTGATATTCCACTGTATGCATATACCACAGTTTATTTATCCATTCATCGGCTGATGGACATTCAGGTTGTTTCACTTCTTGACTGTTGTGAATAATGTTGCAATGAACATTTGTGGACAAGTTTTTGTGTAGACATATGTTTTCATTTCTCTTGAGTACATATGTACCTTGGAGAGGAACTGCTGGGTCATATGGTTTAAATGATTTTTAAAAAATTGTTTGCATGAGTGCAGTAATGTATCTCCATATGAAGAAGGTGAGAGATCTAACATTTCTCCATCCTCATCCCACCACCCAGGAACAAACGCTTCCAACCTCTCTGGCACGGCCTCCTGCTCTGATGTCCTCTCCACCACTCTGTACACATCAAACACTCAGGTCCTCTATGTGAGTGCAGCTCAGAACCGGGTGAACTTTCCCAAGGTCACTTATCCTGTCTTGTTTTCAAACAGGATTGAACTACAACCATCGAATTCTTAGAAGTCCCCAAAGAAGGAAAGAACGTAATTTCCCTCAGTGTCCAGGTCTCAGAAATATCTTCAAATCACTTACCCAAAATCATACACATACAATACAAATACTGAAGGAAGAAGAATGGTCAGGTTTTTAAACAAGCGTTAGAGACTGCCCCCCACAGGCCCTTTCTTTACTTCCTCACTGAACACACCGTCCCCTGACACCATGTGATTTCTGGATCCTCAAGGCTGCATGGCCTACAAATCCCATGTTGATCCAACACGGTCAAGACAAGTGTGGAGAGTGCTGCTGTCCCTCCACATGGCTCTTCTTTTGCTTCAACAGTCTTATTTGAATCTGTTTTCAGAGTCAACAACTGTACCACACAATTTAACATCCAGAATGTTCTGCTGTTGCTGCTTCTGTAATAGTTCAAACTTTCTTTCTTGGTTCCTCTGAGAAACATCCATAAAATGAGTAATTATTGCTGCTGAGGAATCGCTGGAGTCAGCAGTGCTTCGTAGGAGCGGTGTTTCCTCCTCTCCTCCTTCTCCTCCCACCACAAATTCTCCCCCATAAGTTAAGAATTAAAGACATATTACTGGGATAAAGAAATCTGACCTGAAATATGTGTTGCAGCTACAATGGCAAGCAACCAAGAGCATTAACAATAATTTCCAATGCAGCTGGAAAGGTTAGATGATTTGTCTTTGAAATGAGCCAACTCCACACACTTTCATAGGATTAAAATCAGTTTGCTTTTCCTTCTGGACACCTCACCTCTCCTATTTCTACTCCTCCCAAAAAGCCAGAGTGGTTGACACACATAAACAAATGGTTGTGGAAATTAACTTTCTTGACCAAAAGAAAGTTCAAAGACAAATTCTGTTCTGCATGAGTTTTCTTACACTTCACTGGGATCAGACTTTTTTGTGATTTCTCTCTCCCTGGAGAGATAATACTTGAGTGATAACATTTCTGACATACAGAAGCTTAAAAATGGAAAGAATGACAATTCTGTGTTATCCTTGGCCCACAATCTAGGTAATTTCTGAACCTAAGGTCATTTCTGAGCCACTGACCTTCAGCCAGTGGTTCTCTGTGCACCTGTCACCTGTCTGTCACCTGTAAAAAGAGGGTGATAATAGGCCCTCATGGAGTAAACATACTGAGTGCTTCAAACAGTGCTGAGGACAGTACATGTTGAGTCACTATGAGCTTGGATCATCATCACCACCAAGTCCACCACCATCTTTGAAGAGCTGCCTAGTAAGCATGAGAAGCGACCCCTGGGGCTTTGCACGTAAGTACAAAGTAGCACCATCTTTGATCCAGAATCTTCCCATTTCTCCTGACTTATCCCGCAGGAGCCGTAGGTTCATAAGACAAAGCAGAGAAAGAAGAAAAACAGGGCACAGGAGAAGATGGGAAAGACATTTACAATTACAAAGCAGTGGCACTTAATTTTGTTTTTCCATAGCCATGTTTAAAAGATGAAATCCTTAAGAACGTTCTTTCCACTAGGAGGGGCCAGAAATGTTAGAAAGCCAAAAACACATCTCTAGAGACAGAAGTCCTACAGTTGCCCAGTCCAGAAAGCAATCTGTTACTTGAAATGCTTCTCTCTCTCAAGCGTATGATGTATCCTCCTCCCCACGTATGTTCATATAGGAGCATCCTTGTTAGACCCAGAATGGAAGAAAAGGACCCTTTGTTCAGAAAGGCGTCTATACAGACTTAGAGGGGCAATGGGTAGAAAGCTGGCACTTGTGCCTACCTCTCTCTGCGGCTGGCCAGGCCCCTGGTCGGAGGTCCGCAGGTTCAGGACATGCACCTCCTGTGGCAGCCCCGTGGTGCCTCTGCTAGCGCAGCCGGACAGGACGGTGAAGCTCTCCATCAAGGCCTGGACCGGATGGGAGGCATTGACCGGAGACAGTTCACACTGGGCACTGGGCTCTGGACCTGCAGAGGGAATCACAAACATGAACCCCTCAGAAACCACAACCAATTGTGCCTCAATTCAATGAATTGTTCTGGATGGTCAAGCCACTGCCAGCCTACTTGGAGAGTCTTTCCAGGTAAGTTGTTTCCAGAACTAAATGGCAAGATAAGCCAGCCTATTCTTCTAAAACTCCAATCTCTTACATTCCTTTTAGATGATTTCGATGTGTATTTGATTATTTAAATTTCCTTTTAGATGCACAGTCATGAATATATTCTCCTCTGCATAGAGGGAACCTCCCATTTGACATCTGTGTTTAATTATTCCTAAAGTTCCAATAATATTATACATAAATAATATTAAAACAGCTAAAATTACACTAAAAAAGGATAAGATGGCCCTGGCCAGTTTGGCTCAGCGGTTGGAGAGTTGGCCTGCGGACCAGAGAGTCCCGGGTTCGGTTCCCGCTAAGGGCACGTACCCTGGTTGCGGTTGTCCCCGGCCCCGTTTGGGGTCGTGTGGGTGGCGACCACTCGATGTGTCTCTCTCACATCGATATTTCTCTCTCTCTTCCTCCCTGTCTCCCTCCCACTCTGTCTGAAGATGAATGCAAAAATATCCTCAGGTGAGGATTAAAAAAAAAGTGTAAGATGGCCTGACTGGTGCAGCTCAGTGGTTGGGTGTCAACTCATGCACCAAGAGGTCACCAGTTCAATTCCTGGTCAGGACACATGCTCAGGTTATGGGCCAGATCCCCAGCAGGGGGCATGCAGGAGGCAGCCAATCGATGTTTTCTCTCATTGAAGTTTCTATCTCTCCCTCTCCCTTCCTCTCTCTCTAAAATCAATAAATAAAAAAATATATTTTTTAAAAGTATAAGATGAAGTCCCTTATTTATTTATTTATTTATTTATTTATTTATTCATTTATTTTTCAATCCTCACCCAAGAATGTGTTTATTATTATTATTATTATTATTAGAGAGATGGGAAGGAAAAAAAAGAGAGAAACATTGAGGTGAAATAGAAACATCAATTGGTTGCCTCCTGTATGCGCACCAACCGGGAATCAAACCCACAACCTAGGTTTGTGCCCTCACTGGGAATCGAACCTACCACCTTTCAGTGCACGGGACAATGCTCCAACCAACTGAGCCACACTGGCCAGGGCTGAAGTCTTTACCTTTCAAGTGCTTCTGCTACTTAGACAAAGCAAAACAAACTTAAGAATGATACAAACTAAGATGCAATGAGTGGAGGCACATGGAGCCTGAGTTGTCAAGTTTGGGCCAGAGGTTGGAAAATCCTCCCAAGAGAGGTAGGTTATGAGCAAAACCTCAAACAGAAAAAGGTAGAACTCTGGTCCTATTGGCGGCTGCTTCCTCATCTCCTCCTCTAATCAATCAGACCTTAAACCCTAAAGCCACCCATTCCTCCTTGTCCTGTGGCCCTCACTATCTCTGTCCCTAGACAACTGCAGATCTTCCTAAAAGCAACCTCAGGGGCCATGCTCTCCAAGCCACCCCCTGCATAAGCAATGTCCATCCAACTCAGGGTGCGTAACTGAATGGTTATTCCAAACGCAGATACCGACCCCTCCCATTTCCCAAGCTGTCCCGTCCCTGGAGAACTGCTAGCCTTGTGAATAGGGCCTGAGTTCCTTACCCTGATCTAGCCCCTTCCTACCTCTCTAGCCTCACTCCTCCCACTCCAGCAACACCAGCTGGCTTAACAGTCTCCAAACATACCAGGATGTTTCTCAGTTCCATGTCTTTATACAAGCTTGTACCCTTTACCCAAATTTCTTAACTCCAACCCCACCACAAACATCCCGAACTGAGGGAGGTACCCTTTCTCTGTTCTCTTTTAATTGCCCAGCTCTGCTGTTTCATTTTCCATACTGTAACCACCAGTGTATACACCTGCCAGCTCAGTGTGACGTGGGTTACTCATCTTTATATGCTCAGTACCCATCACAGTGTCTGGCACAAAAAAATATGTTTTTAAATTAATCACTGAGCTTAAGAAACAAATGATCCCTTCTCTAATCAGTGACTAGGGCACCATTCCAAGTACCTGGACTGGACTCTAAGCAACTAATGTGGGAAACAGATTACTACAGGGATGCGAGGTACAACCCCACTACATTTCAGCCTCGTTTCACGTTGGCTGGATTGTCAGAGACACATCCAGGAAGAAGGAGTAACCTCCCAATACTTAACACTCACACACCTCTGTGAACTTGGTGTCATCCCCATTTGATAGGTGGGGAGACAAGGACTTGAATATACAGAGTCCAGTAAACCTCAACCTTCCAAATGGAACCTAATAAAAAACATGAGTGCACTCCAGAGAGCTCTGCCAACCTGTACATGATAAAGATACTCTCTAGGATTGCAGCTCTGGTCTAAAATGCAAACAAGTTCAGAACCAGCCAGTGCTGCACACCCACTGCTATACCCTAGGCAGACATCCTGCCTGGTAGCTAAGTCTATTTCAGAACTCATGGAAATTACACAGGCTGATAATAGCTCTCTGTTTGAAATGAAGTACGTAGCTTCTCAAATAATCACTGCCATCCCGTGTACTGTGTCCAGCTGCTTTCTAAGAGAGGCAGCAGCGAAGAAAGATGTCACGGCACCAAAGGCAGAGGTACTGAACGTATGATTTCCTGAAGTCCCCCACGCAGGGCAAACAGTACGAGCAGGTGTGCTCCGTGCTGCTCCCCTCGCCCCCGCCTTCAGCAGCCATAGCGGGGTGTCTGGTGTATTTCACACCTCAGAGCTCCAGAGAGTCTCCTATTCCTACTCAACTCTGGGGACATACAGCGGCTACCACTACCCACACTGGAAAACCCTTCTGAATTGGTTTCATAGTCTCCTGCCATGAATTTGCCATTATGACAGATTAAGCACAAATAAAAAATACTTCTCAGTTTCATTTTTGTACGTACATGCAAAGCTCCAATTGGACTGTAGTTCTACCCAAAATACACCTGCAAAATGGCTTGCAATGTGCTGGATTTGCCCTCCTCTGGACCATGCCACCATCACCCAGCAAGGTTTTCCTTAAATCACTACATTGCCCATCACTACACAGGGAACACTCACTCACTGGAAACAAATCAAGAGGATAAGGTCTTACACAAAGAGAGGGGACCAGAGAGGGGACACCCCAGTGCTAAGGACAAGGACTCCTCACCTAGAGTCTATATTCTCTGTCCTACCACAGTCCAGGGCAGGGCAGACCCCAGTTTATGGGCTGCAGCACCAATCACAGCTTATACAAGTCAGTCCAAGGTCAAAGAAAGGAGAAAGCTATGCTCAGGGCACACTCTGATCAAGTGATGGGATAGCTGCTCCCTACCGAGACCCACTGGGGGCCATTTTTAAACACATTCATATAGAGTGTTCCTAACTATCAGACACACTAGGGTAGTGTTTGGTTTTGGGGGTTCCTCATTGAAATTTTTTTCCTCCACACTTAAAAAAGAAAAAGGTTATGCCCTGGCCATGTGATTCAGTTGGTTGGAGCATCGTCTTGTACACCAAAAGGCTGTGGATTCTATTCCTGGTCAGGGCACATATCCAGATTTCAAGTTTGATCCCCAGTCGGGGCACATGTGAGAGGCAACTGATGGATGTGTCTCTCTCACATCGATGTCTTGATGTCTCTCCCCCACCACCCTCCTTTTCCTTCTTCTCTCTCTAAAACTCAATGAGAACATATCCTCGGGTGACGACGAAACAAAAAAATGTCGATCCCAAAGGGGTTCACTGGTAAATTCTACCAAACATTTAAGAAAGAAATTACAGCAATTCTCTATACTCTCCTTCAAAAGATAGATGCAGAGAGAATACTTCCTAACTCATTCTATGAGGCCAGCATGACCGTAATACCCAAATCGGACAAAGACATTGCAAGATAAAACTACAGGCCAGTATTTCTCATGATCACAGATGAATAAACCTCAACAAAATATTAGAAAATCAAATCTAACAATGATTTTTCCCTGGTATGCAAGACTGGTTCAACATTCAAAATTCAATGAACATAACCCATCCCATCAACTGGTGAAGAAGAACAGAAGAAAAACCGTATGGTCCTATCAATAGATGCAGAAAAAGCATCTGACAAAGTCATTCACGGTGGTTGTTTTTTTTAAAGCCTCTCAGAAATCTAGGAATAAATGGGAACTTCCTTAACTCGATAAAGGACATACACAAAAATCTACAGCTCCTATCACATCATACTTAATGGTGAGAAACTAGAAGCCTCCTCACTAAGACCAGATGTGAGGCAAGGCGAGGCCCTCCCCACTCCCTCCCACCATCGTCCTGGAAGCCCTGTTCATGCTCGCAGCCAGCTCTGGCCTTATGACCACATTCTGGCTGATAGGAGATAACCAGAGGTGATGTATGCAATTTCCAGGAAGTTTCTGCTGAAGGGAATGAACTGTGTTCTTCTGCCCTTTCCTTCTTGTTGGCTGGAATGCAGATGAGATGGGCAAAGCTAGAGCAGCCATCTTGGGCCATCAGATGGAAGCAATACCCTGAGTCGGGCAAAGCAATAAAATAGAAGTTGCCTGGGCCCTTGATGAACCTGAACCTGTTAGATCAGCTCTAGATTGCTCTTTTTAACAGGAAACACGCAGCCCTGGCCAGTCTGGCTTAGCAGTTAGAACACTGGCCCGTGGACCAGAGAGTCCCGGGTTTGGTTCCCGCCAAGGGCACGTACCTTGGTTGCAGTTTGTCCCCGGCCCTGGTCGGGGGTCATGTGGGTGGCAGCCACTCAATGTGTCTCTCTCACATCGATGTTTCTCTCTCTCTCTTCCTCCCTCTGTCCCGCTCTGTCTGAAGATAAATGCAAAAATGTCCTCGGGTGAGGATAAATAAAATAATATGAAACACACATAAACTTTTCTCTTATTCAAGACAGTGTTATTTGGAGTTTTCTGACACCTGCAGTTTAACCTACCTTAATTAAGATACTGGCTTTATTTTACTTCATCAAAAGTGCCA